AAATGGCGGGAAAAATAAGAGAAAGAAGTTGCATCATCAACATTTACAAAGAAGGTGTCTGCATTCCTCCGCACATTGACCATCATGACTTTGCGAGGCCTTTCTGCACGGTCTCATTCATGAGTAAGAGCAGAGTAAGAGCAATATTTTGTTTAGAAATCGACGTAATCGGCCCTGGTGAATTCAGAGGAGCTGTGGAAATTCCTCTCCCAGTTGGTTCAGTGCTTGTTCTCAAGGGCAACGGTGTAGACGTGGCCAAACACTGCATACCAGGAGTACGACACCGTAGGGTGTCCGTAACCTTCCGCAGGATGGATGACAGTAAGATACCATATGGATTCCAACAAGACCCGTAGTTGGAGGAACTGTTTCCTTACGAGCTATTAGAAGCTTGTATCTCTGAGTACATGCAAAGGGAATTCTTGTCCTGGAGCATGACTCAGAAGGTCTGCTTGATCAAGAGCTCGGTATACCAAGCGCAAAATATTCACTTGCTTTCTTTTAACAAGCATGACATGTATCTGATGTAATCAGTCTATGATGTACTCATATCTTGAGAAGGCTCTCAATGCATTTCAGCATGTATTACATGATGTACTCTCTTGGAGGCATTAACCTATGTTTGATCTGTAACATCCTTATTAAAGCAGATTAATGGAAATTTCTCTCAAGTTGTGCCTTTTGTCAATTGCTTTTTTGTACGATGGATGAAAGCCGCGGAGTTCTAATGAACAAAGAACGAAACGACTAATTTTTAACAATAAATAAAACACAAATAAAAGATAATTATAATAAATAAATAAAAAAATAAATTTCTTTTGAAAATCAACCAATTGAAACTAAAACTTTAAAAATATATTTTGAAAAAATTAAACGTAATAAAAATAACAACAAAATAAAACAAACTTTTTGAGTAGATACTTCCATTTTCGGAATTTCCTACCCTTTGTGCGCGCAGCACAACCATCGTTATCTACACTGACTCTCCACACATCCTTGCAGAATTTCACATTCTGCA